GGGTGAAAGGCATGGGGTAGATGGATGGGCAAGCAAACAGCGTAAAGGAGCGAGGGAAACAACAGCAAGGCAAACGGCGACAATGTAAAAACAACACCCGAAAAAAACACAAGTATAAACAAGGCAAAAACTGAAAAAAATAAATAAACAGATGATGAAAGATTGTTTCGTCGGAGTTGCACCGACTCATCAGGAGGCTGATCCCTCGACAATCTGCGGAATCTCCGTATATGATGGTTTGGGTCATGAACCCTTTGACCCTTGTTGAAGGCAGAATGTCCCCAAGCGGAACATAGCAGCGGGCAGCAACCCTGCGGACCACCAGGCAGCGCAGTAGAGGCAACACGGCTGCACAACGCCAAAAATGACTGCAAGGAACGACACAGCACGCCGAACTCGCAGCAGGGTACCCAAGCAGTGAAGCACCAGGCAACACTACCAAGACAACCACACTGCAAGGGACGAGAGGGCAAGTGGACAAGCAGCAGAGCGACAATGCTGAGGGGCACAAGGCAACCCCAACACGGCAACCAAACTATAGGGCGCGCAAGCAAAGAACCCGGAAGGCATGACCAGCGGACGGGCGGCAAGGCAGCGAAGCAGCGAAGCGCAAGGCAACACCACAACCCAGCCACACCACACAGCGAAGACAGCAGCATGGAAAGAACAACCTGCGAGGCAAGCGGAACGGGCAGCAAGGCAGTGGTGGAGCGCAGACGGGGTCGTCCACACATCCAACACGGAGCAAAGCAGCACATCACCTACTCACATCACGGATGAACCCCACAGACTGTTAGTTCCCACCACCCACTGAGCCAGGGAGACACTCCGACGAGCATCCGTCATCACCTACAGGCAACACAGACATCCCGAACCGAGCGCCCCCCCTAAGAGTGCAGTTGGCACTCCAAACGAGGAACCACCGACTGTTTGGTACTACCTAAGGGTGATCAGTCGGGCACGAAAAAACTTAAAAAAAATCAGAAAGAGTACAAACAACAGAAGAAAAGACTGACAGACATAAAACTGATTTTGTGTGTGTGTGTGTGTGTGTGTGTGTGTAAAGAAAACATGTAAATGGAAAGAAGATGTTATAATTGCCGGCGTGGAAAAGAAATGGTGATGGAAGGACATCTCGTTCCGACAATAATTCAGCAGGACGTAAAAACAAAAACAAAGTTTGCTGTGTAAAAGGGTCGTATCATTCTTAAATTCTTGATACTTTTTATCTGTAGTGTAACAGTATAGTAAAAACTCTGAAGAAATCCAAATTGATCTTGTGTTGATCAGCGCTGCTATTTGACAAACAAGGAACTGGGAGTCATGGAGGTCAGTTAAACCCGCTAATTGGAACGATGAACAGAAGATTAGCATGGCCCTGCGCCATCAAGGATGACACATAAATAGAGAGGGAAGAGAAGAGGAGGAAGAAAAATAAATGAACAAAGACTCTGAGAAAAAAAACAAAAAAAAAACAGCTACTTTGTGTGTGTGTGTGTGGGGGGGGGGGGATACTGTCAAACAGAATGGATAAAGAGGTTAACCGATACGTTTTTTCAATATGACTATTAAAGGGAGAGCGGAATTTCCCGCTCCATTGTGTGTGATGTTCACGTGGCTGCCATGTGCGTTCCCATACAATTCAATCTTCTGGCTGATTAACTACAGGGCCAGTATAGGCTTGCAGACCATAAAAAAAAAAAAAAAAAAAGAAGAAGGCTTGCAGACCCCTTTGATTGGGACCCAAGGACCTCTATTCACAAAAAAGTTGTATTCTTCACAGAATCTTCAGTGCTTTTGTTATAGGGATGACCGTGTGGTGTCCTTCAGACATGAACCACATGTATCTTTACACACATTGATTTTGTATCATGAAAAAAAAGGGCTTAAACCACCACTACCTCAGAGCCTCTTTTTGCCGAAGTACAATTTCGAATTGCAAATTCACAACGAACTTGAACGAAGTATGATTATGCCAACCGATTGCCAAAGAAATGAATGAACTTGCAAGAGAAAGAGATCAAAGAAGAAGAAGAAGAAGAAGAAGAAGATGTACACCAGCAAGTAACCAATGACAATCCCCCTTCCTTCACCACTCAACTTCCCTCCTCCTGGAATCCTCCACCTTGTTCTCAAATAATAATAATACTAACAGTGAATGAATTTAGCCTTAACCTCTTGAACAGAGAACCGCAGCTAGAGACGATAGAGTCCTTTCTGCTGAGAAAAGTGAGGGTGTCGAAGACCAAACCATGGATAATCTTCCAGCCTGACCTCAGCTTCGCGGAAGTTCAACTCGAATTCAACCCCAAGGAATGGGTATGGAAACAAGGCGAATCCGGAAAAACCAGAACGATACTGGAAGGCGATGTGAAATTCGGGTACAATCTAGGCCTACGGACCATGGACCCCAACCCCAAACTCGAAGACAGATGGAGAGAGACACTGAACCCAGAGCCAACAGCCTCAATGGCCATCCCCTGGACAAAATACCTCCTTATAAAACCAGTTAGAATCCTAAGCCTACAATGGCTCCTAGCCCACGCAGCACTCCCTGTCAATCAGTGGCTCCACAAAAGAAGAAAACACTCAGACCCCAACAGCTCAGAATGATGCGCAATGTGCGATGACAGTGTCCCTGAAGACATCCCCCGCTGCCTCCTATACTGCAGCCAGGCAGGCTGGATATGGAACAAAGTCCAAAACCTATGGCACCATCTCTTCTCA